TTCAAAAAATATCCCCCAAACTCTCTCAACTCTCTCCCTAACCGACCATGGGCCGGCTACACTCCGGCAAACCCCTCCGCCGCTAGCCGCCGCGCTGGTCGTTGCTTCGACTGTCAGAAAAAAAACCATACTTACCCAAAATGTTCTCCTCAACCCCGGGATCACCGAACCGAAGCCAAAATCCAACAAAAACACCCTAAATAACGTAGATCTATACCGAAAGGTTTTTTTTTACCTTAGTTCGACGGTGGCTTATCAACTTTTGATGGCTTCCTCTTCTCCGATGAGGCTCCCACGCACTTCTTCTGACTCTCGTTGTGGAAAAGTTTTTCCCTTTGGTTTCGATTTTGAGGCTTTATTCTTGTTTGCTTGTATTTAGTTTTCGGCCGGAAATGGCTTCGGTTTTTTTGTGGTTTTTGCCATATTTTGAATGTGGCTTTGTTGTTTTTGATCGTTGGTTGCTCGTATTTTTGCTCGGCTTTCTCTATGTTCTTCCCTTGGCCTCAACGATGGCTTTTATAGCCTCGGGTTTGGTCATTTTGATTCCTGAAAGGGACGGGATTCGTGTGGATTTGTGATTTTTCGGGATGTTTGTGTTTTTGTTGGGTTAATCATTTCGATTTTGTCTCGAAACTTTTCTAGATGCATGTTGTTCAGACGAGATTTTCGGGATGGTTCAGTCCCGATCTCGACTGGTTGTTGGCTTCTGATTTCCATGCTCTGCATGTGGCTTCCACGCGCCACATGTGCAATGCCAGTGCTATATGATTTAGGGTTTAAAACCCCTCAGTCTAAACCTTTGATTTGCGCCCGATCTGATGGTTGAAATGTGTGCGGCACACCTGGTTAATGTGTGGAAACCCTAATGAGCTTGTAGGCTGGGTCATGCCTGCATGCTCAAACGGGCTCACCTGATGCCTTGGACTTGGACCTAGACCCTGCCTGCTTGAACAAAAAATGATAATAAGAATAAATAAGTAAATAAAATAAAAATAAAAACAAAAAATAAAATAAAATAAAATAATAATATGTATATACTTCAAAAAATATGTTTCCAAAACTCGATGTTTTCCAAAAAATCATTCTTTTAAAAACTATATATGTTTTAAAAAAACGTTTTCACATGTTGTATTATATATACGTTTTCAAAAAATATTTTACAAATTATATATTATATGTTTTCCAAAACTGGTTTTAAACATTATATATTATATATGTTTTCAAAAATATGTTTTTAAAACTATATTATACGTTTTCAAAAACGTGTTTTCAAAACCATATTATATATATATTTCAAAACCGATTTAAAAAAAAAACTATATATTATATGTTTTTAAAAATCGTTTTCTAAAATTTATATATTTTTCAAAAAACTATACTATATTATTATAAAAAAGAAAGAGCCTTGGGATAAAATTAGAATATTAATAAAAAATAATTAAATATAAAAAATTAAAAGTGCAAGGGAGTGTCATGCCTTGGAGTGAAGGATATTAATCCCACATTAGAAACGTAAAAGGAAGGTGCTAGAGTTAATAAATAGTGACACTACATCTTATCAAATATATATATTTTGAGAATAAGATAATGATTCCATGACAATTGGTACCAAAATTGATTAATGTCTCAGTAGATAAAATAGATAAAAAGAATAATCATAATAATAGTGCCATGAGATCGAAGAAGAAAGGACATTAATCTTACATAAAAAGGTTATAAGGAAGATCTTGAAGTTTATTGTATAACTACGTATCTTTTAAAAGTATGATAATGATTTCATAACAAATATAATTGTCCTCAACTTTCTAGATCCATCCTTAATTATATAAATGTACTTCATTTATCTTTAGGCTTATATGTTATAAGTATATATTATATATAATTTATAATAAATTGGATTTATTATATATATTTTTCTTGTTAATGTTATTTTTAGTGGAAGTTGTTTATTATTAAAAAAAGAGTAGTGATTATAGGTGTGGACAGACTCTATATTCTATAAAGTTGTTTGCCCAACCTCAAACTGAAATACCAATAAACTGAAAATACAGACCGAAGAACCGACCACTTCATGAGTGAAGCCAATGGGCAGTAGGGTATTGGCGAAAATGCAGACATCACAGTTCACCAGGTGTCAGTCCCACAAGCAAAGAAAGAGACAAACAACACCTACTGACCTACTCCTACACGTAAGGGGAACGAAAGGCCATCTGCCATCCATCCTTCACCGTCCAAACACTTCAAGCCTTACACCTAGCCTACCATTTCCATCTCTATCAAACTATAGTGTTGGATAACAAAGACCACATCTTTTGTCAAAAAGAAAAAAAAAGATAGCATGCCATCGCTATGATTTAAATAGGATTTGTCATTAAACTTATTAAATTAATTATAAAATCTTATAAAATAAATTAATAAATATCTTATAATATTTCATTAAATTTAACGATTGAAAACATGTATCTTAATTCCATAACCACTTGTTCCATGCAACTGGCAACCTCTTACCATGTCCCAACACCACTATAGTCTATATATATGCCAACCATAAGTGAACAGTCCTATTTTACTCGTCTCCATCCCGGTTTATTTATCGCATAGTACTCTATAGGTTCTTAAATTCTGTTCATATAAATTTTTTTGTTACTTAATGTTTAGGGTAAAATATCTATTTACTCTTTTATTAATTATTTTATTTATGCTTTTGATTATTTAACTATTTTTTTCAAAGTTTATATGGTGGGCAGTTAGTGGGCGAGTGGATACAAAACAGACAGATACGGACGGGCGGATGCGAGACGAGTAAAATCTCAAATCCATTATTTACTTACTATCCACAGCAGATATGACTTTTTACATCCACACTCCCCTAACTACTCACTAAATTTATAAAATCTACGAAATTATACCCGTTTACTTTTTAACCTAAACCTCTCACCGAGACAAATTAGATTTTTAACCTAGAACCTCTCACTGATACAAATTAGAGTTCAACCATTGAGCTAGTATGTGATTTTGGTTAACTTTCATCCATTTTTTTATTTAATTTAAATAATTGTTTAATTAAAAAAAGACTAATTATTTTTACTTTATTTAGGAATAAAAGTAATTAAGTAATCATATATATGCACAAAATTAATATATTAAACAATTGTAAAAATATTTATAATACTTATTTATGATAGAATATAAATTTATAATTATTTAAAATTAACTAAACATTATAAAACTTTATAGTATATCATATATTTTTATAAAGTTATTTTTTTATGATGGGTGATGAAACGGATAGGAAATCAAAATGATTAAAGCATTTTATGTATGTTTATTAAACTAATAAGTTTGAATTAAACTGTGGCATATTCGATTATATTTATAAATAAATTTATTTGTTTACTAATTTATTTGCATTTAATATCTTTTATAAATTAATAAAAACCATCTACAAATTTTTATAATTTAATAATTACTAGTTAGGTGAATTTTTATATCTAAAAATATAAAATTCTTACCATTTCCAATTTATTTGTTTATTATTTATGCATATATTTTCAATTGTTTCTGAACATATTCAATTAAATATTTATAAATATATTTGTGACAATATTCGTAAATATTAACATGACATAATAAATAAATGAATATGAACCTATTCAATTAAATGTTTGTTAACATATTCAAGAATATTAAATGAATATATTTAACATAGATGAACACATACTATAATTTTTTAATAAATGAAGAACAACCATAACTTTAAAATTTTTAACTAACATTAACCAAACGCAAACATATTTAAAATAAATAAACAAAAAAATATTCATTCAAATTTAAATCATTTACATTTCTATCAGAAAAACAAAAAAAAAAAATTTAAAATTCATATTATGTTAATGAGTTAATTGCATCAAATATTTTTAAAGTAGGACTCTCATTTTAAATTGATCCTTAAACTTTCAAATGTTCCAATTTCATCTTTGAACAATGATTATCATTCTAAATTAGTCCTCAAACTTTTGAACATTTCAATTTCATTCTCAAACTATTACCTTCATTCTAAATTGATCCCCAAACTTTTAAAACATTCTATTTTCATCCCAAACTATATGTATATACTAATCAAATCTATTGTTAATAAAATTGTTAGGCCAAGATATATTATTATATTTTTGAAAGAAAAAAAAATTAGGTTACACTACGATTGAAACTAATTACATATTTAGATGAATTTGGAGGTGAATTGTAATATTCAAAAGTTTGGAGACCAATTTAGAAAGAGGTTCATAGTTAAGGGATGAAATTAGAACATTTAAAAGTTTAAGGACTAATTTAGAATGAGAGCATAATTTATAGATGAAATTGAAATATTTAAAAGTTTAAGGACCAATTAAAAATGAAAGTTATAATTTGAGGACATATGATGCAGTAACTCTATTTTAATAAATGGTCCCACTACTATATGTTGTTGTTTTGTTGAATGTCTCGACTATCAAAAGTTACAAAACGTTCCTTTGACTCTAGGATGTTTCTTTGTTGGTCCCTCGACTATTAAAAGTTACAAATTTGTCACCCAATTATTCATTATGTTCCAAATTCATCATTTTCCATTAAAAAGATGGTATTTAAGCTGGATGTGTATACGTTGTCTGATATATGATAAAATCTGATCACAGAATCTCAAATGATTATCATATCTCAGACAATATATTAACATCCAGATCAGAATGTCGTTAATATTTTAGCATAAAAGGATGAATTTGAAACATAATGAATGACCGCATGACCATTTTGTAACTTTTAATAGTCAAGGGACTAGACAAAATAATATTTATGATCGAGGGACCATTTAATAACTTTTAATAGTCAGAGAACTCAATAAAGTAGTGTCATATAGTCGAGGTACCATTTGTGTACTTTACTCTTTAATTAAATACAAGCCGAATCCGCTCAGTTCGGTATATATATTTTGTCCCCTCTTCCAACATTGTCTTTGATATCAACGAACAATAAACTGCTTTTCGTCGTCTCTTCTCTCTATCTCTTTCTCTGTAATTTCTCTCTTTTTCCAATTCAAATCTCGAAAAACTTTTCCCCAGCCCCAGAAAAATCAACAACATGAGTCGTTTCTGGACTCTGCTCTCAAATCTTCATTCTTTAGCAGGGTATTTCTTTCCTTTTCTATATTCCTCTTAATTTCATGTTCAAAGACTTCAACTTTTGATCCTTATTGTTCTTTTTTAATGTTTGCAGGCCTGTGGTGATGCTGCTGTATCCCTTGTAAGTAAATTTCAACTATACCATCAATTCACATGTTTGTTTCCTGGGAAAATAATTTGTTTTCTTTTTTGTTTTTCTTACATCAGATACGCCTCGGTGATAGCTATAGAAACTCCGGGCAAGGAAGACGATGAACAGTGGCTTGCTTATTGGATTTTATATTCGTTGCTTACTCTAACTGAGATGCTGCTGCAATCAGTCTTGGAGTGGTAAAAATTATCTGCGTATTTCTAAGTTCAAACTCTTATAATTTAGATATTATACTTTCGTCTTTCAACATAAAATCTACGTCTGCTGATGGGATTGAATTGTGTAGGATACCGATTTGGTACACCGTGAAGCTGGTGTTCGTGGTGTGGATGGTTCTGCCTCAGTTCAGGGGAGCAGCTTTCATATATGAAAGGTTTGTGAGAGAGCAAATCAAGAAGCATGGGTTTTTGAGACATGATGTTAAGACCCTTCACAAGAGTATTTCTCCCAAGGGGAAAGGCAAGAAGAAATTCGTCCACTTCATCGTCCCCAAGAAAGTAAGTTTACGAAACCTATATGCTAATTCATATTAGTGACATGATAAGTTTTATAAATTAAAATGATGACATGATATGCATTATGTTATTATTTATGTAATATGACGTGTTAAAGTAATATTTATGTACCATATAATATTTATTATGTCATTATTTACTCTCTTATGGGATATTGATTGGGGATGGCAGGTGGCTCAAGAACCTATGTAAATGCCGACTCCTTGTGCAATTTTTTGGACATAAAGAGTTTTCTGAACTTTTTCTCATGTATTTTAGAGTAGGGGTGAGGTTTATGAATGGAATTATAATTAGGAATTTAAATAGCAATCGTTATTGTAATAGTGCTCATTATATAACAATAGTAGTGCGGTGTCAAAGTATGAGTGTGATACTTATAATTAATGTAATAGTGTCGTCGTGTCTACAATAGTGATAAACACAACATAACTACAAAGGATTATCTTCGTAATTTAAATCCTTGATCACAACAATCAATTACCACCTTTTGTGCACAACCAAACTCGTTTGCATTTGCAATTGGAATCAGAGATTAACACCAGTTTTATTTGGTGAAGATCCAGAATCTGGTTCGTCTCAAATTATATAAATTAAAGCAAATTAGAAAAGTGGAGTTCCACAAAGTTAAATGATCATATAAAATATTAATAACAAATTAAATAAGTTTATAAATATAACTAAAGGTCTAATGAGTAACACATGGTCAAATAAAGCGAATAAATATACTAGTAAGAAACAATGGGTGATTTAAATATCTAGAGAATATTGATATTTTAATTCGAAAGAAATTAAAACCCACTATTTTGATGCATAGTTGCATAAACATAAATTGTAGTCTATGCATATCAGAAGTTGGGTACCCATGGTCACTTGTATTGTCTCAATTCATATCAAATGTTTAGGGCCTCAAGCCTACTCAATAAGTACTATATTTTGACCTTTTAACTAAAATTTAGGGCCTCAAATCCATTTATTAAAAATTAAGGGTATTTTGATAAATTTACAAGTCTTCAAGATCATCTATTTCTCAAATGTTAAGGCCTTGAGTCTTACTAGGGATGGTTAAAATATTCAAATCTTACGTGCCCCGAGTCGAATCAACTCTATAGGGTGGGTTTTTTTTTTTGAAATTTTGGGGCTCGGGATAGGTTATATAATTAAAATTTTTGGATCGGGGTAGGGCCGGGTTTATGGTGAAAAATAACCAATCTGACCCGACCCGGTTATTTATATAATTTATATTATATTATAATTAATATTTTAAGAATTTTTATTTTTAAGGCTTCAAACTATCCTTGAAATGTCAGTTTAGGAATACACTTATCATCACACATGTTTCAAACAACTTAGGCCATATGATCCAACTATTTAATACTAGGGTTATTTTTTGATTATTTCTTTAAATTTTAGAGTTTTGTGACATATTAGTACTTAGAACTTAAAGTTAGGCTTAAAATATCAGTCTAGGTAGGTCTAGTAACCTAATTTAAGTCGAAAAAGGGTAGTTTGGGTCGTAAAGTCCAAAATAGGTTAAAAAATCAATCAGAGCCCTTAATTTTGAAATAAGAATCAAATTTGAAACCAATAGGGTGAGATTCGAAACTCAAGATGTAATTTTGAAACCGAGACAACATTTTGGGCTATTAGAACTTCAGTTCAGAAAGTGAGGTTCAAAAATTACAAGTCCTAATTTTGGCTATTGGAACTCGAAACCCAAGCCCTAATTTTGAAAATGGGACTACAATTTGGGGTTTTAGAACTTCAGTATCGAGGGTGAAAAGTTCGAAAATACCCAAATCTTAAACCTAAGCCTCCAAACGCTCCCTACACATCAAAATATATATATAGGTGACATTAAGGTTCGTTTGTTTAACTGAAAATATTTTTCGTAAAATGAAAAATATTTTCTGAAAAAACGTTTACGATATTTGGAAGATGTTATTTAAACTCTTTTTCCACTAGTTGATGAATTTTTTAAAAATTATTTATTACATATATTAAATACAATAAATAATATTATTTATCATAAAACTTAATATTATTATTTTTAAAATTTTAAAATAATTTATTTATTATTAAAATAATATTTTTATAATTTATTAATAAAAATATTAATATTGGTATATTTTATTGAAATAAAAATATTATAAATTATATTAATTATTTATTAAAGTAATAGTGTTATATTATATTTTTAAAATATTAATTAGTATATTTTAAATATCTTTTATTGAAATACAAATATTGGTATATTTTATTGAATAATTGTCTGTCCAGCTCAGTTGGTAGAGCGCAAGGTTATTAACCTTGTGGTTGTGGGATCAAGTCTCATGGTGGGCAATTCATAATTCGGAGGTCTCCCATGGAAGCTGCTCACAACCTGATGTTGGGGGCAACCTACTATCCTACCTCCTCTTAGCCTATTACATATGGGAATAAGGGTTAACTAATTTTTTTTATTGAAATAAAAATATTATAAATTATATTAATTATTTATTAAAGGAAACAACACTCATGAAGAACTTTGAGAGAGAGTGAAAAATTCCTACTTAATCAAATGGTAAAATAAAGAGTCAAAATGTACTTATAAATCAAGAAAAAAATGAGAAAGATTCATGAAGGATCTCTTTCTAAAACTTTATTAAAACTTCCAAATAACTTCGCACTGCAATCTGTGGAGATGATGAGTCTTAAAACTCTAAAATTAAAGAAAATAATACTTAGAAGCGATGAGGGAACTAAAATTATTATATAGAATACATACACATATGTTAATAAAATAAATTTTTTAAAATCAAATAAATAAAAATAAAATTTCAAGATGAACACTATTAATAAAATAAATAATTAATAAAAAAAAATTCAGATTTGAGTACACATTTTAAAAAAGATGTGGATTTACTTGGTGGTGGATGCAAGTGGACTCTGAGGCAGATGCATGCCTATCTTGAAATTCAATTTTTTATATTTTTTTATTAATTTGAGGTAAGTATAAGGTAATATAAGTTTAACGATAATTCTCAATCTTTTGACATTTAACGTTCACACTCCTTACATCTATAGTGCTTGAACTCGGATTCTTAATAAATAACAATAATTCTTTTATCACGGAGTCCATTGAAATTTGATTTTTTATGTTAATTATTTATTTTATTGATGATGCTCACTCTAAAATTTTACTTGTATCCATCTTGAAAATACTTTTAGATCCGACATTGAATATATATGTACTTACTATCCATCTTGAAAATACTTACTATCCATCTTGAAAATTCTTTTAGACCACGTAAATTTTTTTGTTTTCAATATATATGTACTTACTATCCATCTTGAAAATACTTTTAGATCCGACATTGAATCCACTGCTGTTTAGAAGAAGAAACTCTCGATCTTAAAAACCGAAGAAGAAAAGACAAGAAGTTACGTGTCGAATACCCTACATGCAGAACCGCTACGTTGCAAGTGCAAGAGCAATGAAATAAAGTAGTACTATTCTACAATCTCGAAAAGAAGCTTTAGTTTCTGGTAATCCGTTTGTGAAACAAGGCATGGATTTGGCAGATAAGTTGATGCATGTCATCGTAGTCACCCTCTCCCTTCTTGCACTCTTCTTCTTCCTTAATCAGTATCGTTTCCTCAAGGCCTTCATCTACACCGCAAGAACCTTATTCAAGGAAAACGTCGCTTGAAAAGTTATACTCATCACCGGAGCATCTTCTGGCATTGGCGAGGTCTGAATTTACCCTATTCTTGCATGTATATATGTATGATTCGTAGCTGTAGTATAATCAGTTACTTTTTTTTAGATATCAAATTTAAATTTGGTAATCAAGTGGAACTCGCTTGGGTTCTTCTCTTCGACAAAAACTTTATGAAAAACAAGAAAAACTTTATGAAAAGCAAGAAAGGACTCCTCAATTGTTTATCTTAATTACGAAGAGAGACTATCCACTTTATAGAAGTGATAGAGCCAAATCAATCAATATGGGTAATCAATTCCCTAAAAGTAACCCTTAGTATTTGCATTAATAAAATAATTATCGGGTTTTGAGATACACAGGATATCATGTATTTATATTTTTTTGTACGTGTAGATATGCAAAGGCTGAATCAAGTTAAATTTCATCTTTTGTATCATCTTATTTTATGATGATTTCGTTTTAGCTATTTTTCTACTTACAAATTCTTAGTAGTTCTTGTACTTATTTTCTTGAGTTTTGAAGCATTTGGCATACGAGTATGCTAGGAGAGGAGCTCGATTAGCTCTCGTTGCGAGGAGAAAGCATCATCTCCAAGAAGTAGCTGGAATTTGTGACATCCTTGTGTCCCCTGAAACTGTTTACATCCTTGGAGATGTCTCTAACATTGAAGACTGCAAGCGGTTTGTTGATGCCACTGTAGACCATTTTGGGCAATGTAAGCACAGATTTGATGATTTTTCTTCTTTAAATCCCTCTTCGAATTAATGGAGGTGCTTGTTTGCTAAAAGTTGGACCGGTGAAGCAATAGTGATTTGAATCTTGGTGTAAAGATATGATTTATCGGTTAGAAATAGTGATTTGAATTTCGTTTGATCTGACTTGAAAAATTCGGTGAAGCAATAAATTAGAAGAAAAAATGGGAATACGAGTATGGACGCGTGTTTGTGGGGTTCGTGTTTGCTATCCACAATCAGTTTCGTAATTTATTTGCTGACATGGTGAAATTATTTTATCCTGCCCGTGGGTTTTCAAGTCAAAAGTTTAACATAAATTTGTATCAATTTGTGATCGAATACTTATCATCATTCTGTGATGATTTCATATATATCGACAGTTTGATTATGTTTATTTCATATACATATATGCATTTCAACATTTTCACTTGAATAATCCAAGTAGCATAAGTTAATTTAATCACACGGTGTTAACATCTGAGGTTCAATGAGTGCATTTTGTATTCTTAGGACATAAACTTCTGGGGTTCAGCATACACCACTTATTTTGCTCTGCAATATCTGAGGAAGAGCAAAGGGAAGATCATAGTGATATCAACGGCTTCTATAAAGCAAGCAAAGCAGCACTGATTAGCTTTTTCGAGTCATTGAGGATTGAATTGGGGACTCAAATCGGGATCACGATTGTGACTCCTGGATTCATAGACAGAGATGACTGAAGGCAAATACTTATCGAAGGAAGGCACATTGGAAGTCGATCAATAAATGAGAGATGTAAGCAAAGCTTTTCTCTCCTCATTTCTATGTTAAAAGAAAAAAAAAATTAGTGTGGAATGTAATGAATTTGTATGAATTGCTGTTGACAGGTTCAAGTGAAAGTGAGGCCGGTAG